TTATACTGTTAATGTAAATATTCCTGAAAAGCACCTGATTTTATATATTTATTTTTGTAAAGTTATAATTGTTATTACAAGCAGATTATTTTGGAACTGTATATATTATATGGAAGAAAATAGGCCTCCGGGGGAACCGAACAAATTCTTGGAAAACATCTGATTCTTTTTTTACAATGCTAAAAGGTGCAACGCAACTCCCTTTTGGTATTACGATTTTCAACTATTTTCACTCGAAGTTTGATTGGTGTTGCTAACCTAAAAAATTTAGATTTGACATATAGCAGACAGATAACAGCCAAAAAAAAAATCAAACCAATTTTATTTACTTATTGCTCTCGAAAAGGTGAATAATTATTCAAATGAACATAAGTTTTGATGACAAAAATGTTGAGGCCAAAACTGCTGTAGTGCGCATAAGAATAAGCATTCGTGATCACTCAAATCCATTCGAGATTCCCAACATAAAGTAAGCGAAAGTTTTATTGACTATTAAATGGAAAAAGTGATTTTCGTTTAAATGAGGAATCACTTAGTTTTTTACTAAATGAAATGAACCTGCAATTCGTTCCTGCAGGTAGTTATCAAGAATGCAGTTTAAATATTTTAACTTTGGACTGAAGTAACCTACGATATCTATGGTTGTCACAAAACCTGACTTTAAATATGAACACCATAACGCTGTGGATAAAACGCCAATGACTGAAGATGAGCATTCATTAACGCTTCATTTAATTTTGCTCAAAAAGTACAATATATTCCTAGGAATAGTATATTGTATCGACCATTTATGTTTAAAACATTTCCCACGCTCCCTTATTTTAATTTTACCGTTTTTAATTCGCAGCTTGCCTCGCCCAGTTTCGGGATTTTATTCCACGTACATTTTTTAATTTTTTTCTATTTATTTGTACATATTAACTGATTAAAATAGTTTAAAATTATAAATAGACTAGTTTAAATAACCTTTTCTATTAAAATTTTTCCTATAAAATTCATTAATATTTAACTACTAGTGCTTCGTAGCAGTTGAAATTCTTTTATACACTAGTCAACACCACTGGCACAGGGTTGAAAACCATAATACCTTAAAAAAAACTTAGGTTTGGCAAAACTTCAATGGAAATTTAGTTTGACGAGTTGATTTGATAACCATAATATCTAATTTCAAAACCTCAACCAAAATGCAGTTGGGTAGAATACCGTAATAGAACCTTAATAAATATTATTTAAATATTTATTTTAAACAACCGTTCAACCCTCACAGGAACAACGCGTACAGTGTTTTAGACACAGGGTTTGCTGGTTGCCACTCTTTTGCAGTTCGCTGCTTCATGAAAACATTCCCCTGGGTGTTGAGTGTAACTCTTTGCCACTAGTCGAACTTTCAGTAAATACTCATCTTTAGTACGGAACACGAACTTGTTGCCAATTGCTTTACGACTCGAAAGTCTTCAACTATTTGCCGAATTCCGCTCCCCAAGTCCGCCAAAAATTCATCTTTGAGCACCATTAACTATATAGATACCTCTTCGAATTTCAATGCTTCCGCTAAAGTTTGCGGATCGTCGGAATCAACAGCATCCACTTCTCAATCGACATCAGCGAGCGATTGGTGATATACTTTTCATGGTATCCCTCCCTGTCCCGCGCGCACAAACGTTGGTCGACCTCTAACGCGCGGATCAATTAGGTACGTCTACCGATTTTTCGTTACTGTACTCAACGGCGTCATCTGCAATACTATTTTTGAATACGTCGTCTATTTTGTTTTCGTTTTTAATGTATTTTTCATTTTCGTGCTCAAAGTTCTCAAATGTTTTATCAACACCATATATATCGATAAACTTTATAACACGGCTTACAACTGCACACCTATATGTCTCGTACGACGACGGCAAACTATACAACAAAAATACTAACAGCTCATCGATAATTGCGACGCCTATTTCTTTTAGCATCGAAGAATGCGTTAGGATATTCGCGATCTTTCTCGCCTTCTGAAATGGCTTCCAATGCTACATGCGTCAGTAGTGGCGCTTTTCTAGCCGCCCTAATGTTAATTCCAATTTTGACCAAATTTCACGTATACTGTTGCACTCCGAGATCAGCCCTAGCTATGATGACGCCATCGCCAACTTGATGTTTGCTGAAGCCTTTCGATCAGCAATTTTTCACTCTTTGCTTAATCTGTGGGACGCACTTTTGTTCGCAACTCTTAATTTTTTTGCTGACGGTTGTTATCAAAAATGTAGTGGAATTGAATTTAACGTTTACGAGAGGATTGAATTTAGGAAGGATTAAATTTAACCGCCAAAATGACGGAAAGGAAGCGAAACGGCTCATTCTTGGGGCAGTTTCGGTATTTTCAAGAAGTTTTTAAATTTTACTTATTTTGTATGCATTTGTAAAAAATTATTAAAAATAGTTTGTTTATCCACTCTCTATTTTTCATTAATGCTCAAGGAAGTTTGCTGATATTCTAGTCAACCGCACTGGCATTATTAAAAACCGTAATACCACAAAAACATTGCACTTCGAAAATACGAACAGTTTATTTTGACGGATTGAGTTAATATCTGGTTGGACAATTTGATCTCGAGCAAAAGAAAGCAGTTTTTTATTAGTTACTTGACGAGTATATGTTCTTTAAACGAACTCTTCGCACTCTTTCGTGGCCAACTTTTACGCCCAGGTCTAAGTTGAGCAACAACTGAAACACTTAAATATAAACCTAATATATCGCAAAGTTCCTAGAGTTTTTTGCGTTTCTTCGAATTGTGAAAATAGTTTTCAGACAATGCAAAATATGACACATTGTACTTTTCGTTGTTGCATTGTATTGCTAAGAAGATTTCAAAGTAATATATTGTTATCCTATGCAGATTTATATACATTTCAACCCCACTGGCAGTATTGAAAAATGTAATACCACAAAACAGTTCAATTTTAACAACACTTAAATTCCTTCCTCATTTATTAAAACTTGGTTCCATACAACATTCTAAATATAAGTACGATATGGTTTTATTTATTAATTTATGTAAAGTTTTATTTGTTCTAAAAGTATGTCACTTTAATGCTCAAAATAACTTGCTTAAAGGCCATTATATGACCGAATCATTGTTGTCCTAATGTGGGGAATTTTTTTGTATGCTTCTTCAATTGAATGACACAGTGGCTATTCAACCACTGGACCAGAATTCAATAAAACTGACAAAACTGACGAAGATGATATCCCTTTATCAGTGTGAATTAATATAATATAGATAATAAATCTTATTTTTCTATGTTTTTTATTATTTCGGGAAATTAATTTTATTTCACAAATTTAAATATTTAAACCATATTCCATAATAACAGCCCTATTTAAATAAAACTTCCAAACAACGTTGTGTGGGAAAATTTATGAGGTTTGTTGTGAGGTTTATTTTATGACGTTCTTCTTGCTTAACAACCCTAATCACTTGGCCTCACAATAGTGAGGGGGTGACTAGTTTACCTCATGCTGGCGTAAATTCAAAAGTTCAAATTCTAAACAAATTTGTAAATATTGAAATATAATGGGGGAACTCTTTTTTAAGTTACTATGCATTTAATACATGTACGAATAAAAAGATATTTATGCTTAAATAATTCAGTTATTATATTATATATACATATGTAATATGAAATAATAAAATTCTCAAAGATCTGGTGAATTCTTCACACCGAAAATATTATATGTAATCTTAACTATTGAAAGAACACATACAATACAAGACAATACAAAACAAAAGCAAAAGAAACATCCTGACTAGAACAGTGATAGTCATCTGACCGGTCATATGACAGTCATAGCTGAAAAAATTTTGTCAGCGCGCAGAACAAAACAAACGCATGTGTCAGAGTTGGCATCAATGTAAATGAAATGCTTTACTAAATAAGCTTTAAGCTGTCATTCTAGATACACCTTCCGGTACTCTTTAACACATGGGTATTCGGAATTGATTCACTATATATCCATACTGCTCACTGTCATGTCTTTTTCTGAGTCATTGCTGACCATAAATCCATTATAGCTGAAAATTGTCAGTTATGACTGGAACGCTATCATAGCTGCATATCGTCAATTATGACTGTAAATCTATCAGAAGTGCAAAATTCTTTTGCGCAGTAGATAATATTATATAATTTTGATTTCTTTAATAAATTCAAAATTTTAATTAAAATTAGTCATAGTTATATACATATACATATATGTAAATGTAAAATGAAGCGTAAAAATGAAATGAATGTTTCTCCAGTTCATGAATATTTCGTAATATTTAAAAATGCCTAAATAAAAATTAAAATTAATTAAAAATATACTTTTATTTGAAACTTTATAATAACTTACGCATATTATATTTGAAAACTCATTCTATATTTATATATTTTTTTAGCATAAAAAGAGTTATTGCATAGGAGCATGCAACACTTTTGGCTTATCGCACAGAATAACAGCTACATAGGTATTTCACAACTTCTATGGAAATGTACATATGTCTCTTTTCGGCGTATACAGAATTTGCTTTTGGAAAATCGTAAACATTGACAATCATTTTACTGTTCATTTGACAGTCAGTACTAACATAATAAATGTGAGTGTATTGGTGAAAACATCAGCAGTTTTTTGTAGGGCTAGTATGCACGCAATACACATGCATTCAACATTTAATAATAATATTTAGCCCTTATGTTAGTAACCGGGTACCCGGATACCCACCGCGGTGTATTTGTGTGAATAGCTTTAAAAAAATTCAATATTTCATTTTAAGCTCTCAAATCGTCGTTTTTTAACTTAAAAGAAAGCTATTTGTGAGTTCATTTAATTGATTTATTTTTTTTTTAAATAAGCTTAAACTCTAGCCAGCCCTATTAGCAACCGGGTCCCACAGTGGAAAGCATAGGAAAACAATTGTATATAATTTCTATTAATGCAGTGGAAAGCATAGGAAAAAAATTTTATATAATTTCTATTAATGTATGCAACTAAATTTTATTTAAAAAATAAAGAAATATTACACTTTTTTTTATAATTAATGACATTGAACACATTGTACACGATTAACTGAGTGCTCGTCACACACAGGTTGGGGACAATTGGCACAGGCCTTACGTGTTTTTCGCCGTCTTCTTATTGGCAAAGCATTGCAGACATGGCAAGATCCTGTTACTTTTTTTCTTCCAGTTTTATCTTTTGGAGTCTCTGGACCAGGATTTATCACGACTGTTTCTGTCAGTATATGGCCTAATACATTTTCAATGGCAATCTTTGTTGAGAAGTGGCGCATTACTTGTGGATTCGCCCTGCGATGTTCAATCATCGGCAATGCTAGTTCTTCACTTAGTTTACGCATAAATTGACGACGTTCAGTCGTTTTTTTGACAGTAATTTTATTATTTTCATAATAAATTATATATGCCGCAAGTGAAGAAGTATCTAGCATGTTGAAGAACATTGCCATTGGCCATCTCGAAGATCGTTGCTGACTGGTGTATCTCCGCACCATTTTGTCCATTGTGTCAACTCCAGCTTTATATTTTTTATAAAAATTTATTAATTCTGGTTTTCGTTTAGCGTCATCACCAACTGATATATCTGAATGCATTGTCGATATCAGAATGACAGCTTTATTTTTTTTAGGATCGTAGGAACACATGGTAACTTTCTCGTGAAATCCAAAAACTGTCGAATACTGCTCCCGTGTCTTATTCGATTGAGTTTGATGTCTAGCTCTATTTGCTGGAATCCAGTCTTCATCATCACTATCAGAAACCCTACTCGAATCACTGTCGTGTTCTCCATATAGTTTCCTCAAGTACTCATTCCTTTCAGTTGAGCTTAACCTAATAAATTAAATATTATGTGATATACGTCGCAAATAATTATAATTATATTACACAAAATTGTAATTAAAATATTAACAAATGGTTAATATATGTAACGACTTACTTACCGAGCATAATCTTCTCTCGATAATTGTTCCATAGCTTTATTTTTCACTGTCAAGAGAACACCAAATGAAACACGTCTGATCCCACCAAAAATCTGGTACATACTAAAAAATGTTCGAGTCTAGTGCGCGATAGAAAACAAAGAAATAACCTTGAGTTTTTCTTTCTCTCTCGAACGGCATCTGCTCGGCTCCGAACAATAAAAGCCGACCGACTACCTGGGGTGTCCCAAATAGGTTTCAGATGTCATTCACGATTCTACGTTGTTATTTTTTTTCTCTAAATTTTCACTGACTTTTCCTATTTGAAGAAAAACATTTTTTAGAAAAAATTTTTTTTTAATAACAAAAACAAAATTTGAAATAAAAAAACAAAATTTTTAATACTCAGATCGTGGGTAACCCGGTACATAAGGGTTAGTCAGTTTAAGCACTTGAATATAAACAAACAAGCAGATGCATTGAGTTGTACATTACATTACAAAAACAACCGATATAGCATAACACGCACATCATGAAAATAAAGAAATAAAACCACATTTTGTAAGCCAGAAAATAAATGAAATTATTATATTTACATCAAAATTATCAAATTTGCGAAATGACTTACTTTTCTGGGCAATCCATTTCTTTATTTTGAGTTGTTTATTTTTATAAAACAGCTCTTTGATAGCAGAATGCTTTTCACGTCACGTGGTTATTTTGTTAAGATTTTTTCTTATGAGGTTCACAAATAAGATGTGAGGTTTTCTCAGAATAAGGCTGATACTTTTGAAAAAAAATTTCAGATTTTATATGTCTCAAGCCTTATACATATAAATTTTGCATATTTTCTATTTACAACATTTAATGGATTTATATATTTTATTACTATTTTCGTAAGTTGTAGCAATTATTATTTTTAATATCTTTTTGGCAAAATACTGTTTACCCAACATATAAAACCCTCAAGCACTGGAATATTATCTTTTTTCATCATTTGCCGGAAACTAGGTGCATGTTAAGTCTTGTGCAAATGAAAACAAGGCTGTCAAACCTCCAAAATCACTGCTTATTGTCGATAATAGTTGTCAAGATGTTATTTAGGCAAACGAAAGCAAAGTGCAATTCAGTCGCCATTGACAATATTGGCCTGATAAATAGTATTGCTTTTGAGTATTTAGAGTTTATAGCTGCAAAACTATTGATAGTCGGACCACTCGATAGTTTTGATAGTTTAAAACAATTCTATCGATAGTTTTTATCCTAGAAATCTACTTACATTTTGCTGGTTTTAAATAGGATACCTTGGTTTTGTACAGTCCATTTTTATGAAATAAACTTTGAATTAATTTATAAAATAAAACACGACCAATAACGGAATAATAAATTTACATATACATATTTTCTGGTGACAATATAAACTGCTCTGAGAGGTATAATACTATGTTCGCACCGACACAAAACTCGGGTTTTCATAGACAAAAGAGGTTTTCACGCGAAAACTTGTGTTTTCATCCATACAAAATCTGTCAAACGAAAACACAGTTTTCGCTGAAAACCCTTTGAGAACTTACATTCTACTCATTATAATCGGTACCTGCTCTAGTTTAATCGATATTATTAGAAGGCATATTACATTACCAGCCCTAAATGTCAGTCGACAATTTGTTTACATTCCATAATTGGCCTAAACGTACTCTACAAGAAACTGCTGATGGGTTTGCCAATACACTCACATGTGATATGTCAGTACTGTTAATTTACATTTGCATTTTTAAATTCAGAACTATCCACTGATTGGAGAAAGACGTACGCAGAGCTATTGAGAGGAGGAGATGGCATCAAGCAAAAATTTATTTTTATATATTCATATTTTACTATATTTTTTGTTGCATTACTTTTTATACTGTCGCAAACTGTTGCTAGAGAGTATAATAGTTTTGTTCACCTAACGGTTGTTTGTATACCTTAAACTAATCGAGTTAGATATAGGGTTACATATACATAAATGATCAGGATGAAGAGACGAGTTGAAATCCGGGAGAATGTCTGTCCGTCCGTCCGTCCATCTGTGCAAGCTGTAAGTTGAGTAAAAATTGTGATATCTTTATGAAACTTGGTAGACATGTTTCATGGTACCGTGAGACGGTTGGTATTGCAGATGGGCGTAATCGGACCACTGCCACGCCCACAAAACGTCATTATTCAAAAACAAATAAATTGCCATAACTAAGCTCCTCAATAAGATACAAGACTGTTATTTGGTACACAAGATCACATTAGGGAGAAGCATCTACAGTTAAATTTTTATTTTTTAAGTGGGCGTGATCCCACCCCTAATAGGTTTAATGTGCATATCTCCTAAACCGCTAAATCCATAATAACAAAATTGAAAGCGGGTGGCAACTCCGCCCACTCCCCATATAACGGTACTGTTAAAAAAGACTAAAGCGCGATAAACCAAGCACTAAACACGCCATAGACATTTAATTTTATCTCTAGGATGGTATGAGATGACTTTATAGGAATCGCGTGGCACCGCCCACTTATAGGTGAAAACCCATATCTTGGGATCCGCTCAACCAATTTCAACCAAATTCGGTGCATAACGTTCTTTTCATGTTTCTATGTCATAGTGCGAAAATGGGCGAAATCGGACTACAATCACGCTTACTTCCCATGTAACACCATTTTCAATGCCATCTGATTCTTTCACTTTCCACTATGCAAATCAGGTAACAATGATTATATCGGGGTAAAACTTTGCGTGAATAATACGTTTAAAGTATGCCACCTTGTCACCAAAAATTGTCTAAATCGAATCAGAACTGTTCAAGCTCCTAAGTACTTAATATGTGGACCCCAGTGCCTATAGTTGACCTTCTACCGAAAATATCAGTCAATCCACAAAGAAATCTCAAACGAGTATATCATTTGACTTTGCGAGAGTATAAAATGTTCGGCTACATCCGAACTTAGCCCTTCCTTACTTGTTATATATAAATATATTATTATAACTAATTTTGATTAAAAGCTTGAAATATATAAAAGAAATAAAAATTATATTATCTACTGCGCAAAGAATATTGCTCTTCTGATAGCGTTTCAGTCATAACTGACAATTTTCAGCTATGGTGGATTTATGGTCAGAATAGACTCAGAAAAAACAAAACAAACAAACAAAAGGAAAACAAGACTCTTAAGAAAATGATAGAAACTTCGTTCTGAGCGCTGTCAAATTTTCTCAGCTATGACTGTCATATTACCCATCAGATGACCGTCACTGTTCTTGTAGGGTACATAACAAACGTAAATAAATAGATGTGTGAACTGTCAATGAAAACTCATCGAAAACACACAATGTCGGTCAGAACGACTTTGTTTCCACAATCCACAAATTGGTTTTTCAAGAAGATTTCAATTATGTGCGAACATAGTATAAGGTATAAATCATGGATAGTCAAAATAAACTATCGATAGTGAGAGAAAAAACTATCGATCCTATCGATAGCCGCATCGATTGTTTTGCAGCTCTAGTTTAGATGCTCTAAGCTAATTTTTGGTAGATTCCACTATTAATTTAATAATGGGAAGCTCTCGTTCGTCGCGAAGCCCTTTAAAACGACATCACCATAAAAGCAAGCATAAAAAAAGAGGAAAAGATCGTGATAGACGTAAGAATGGTGTGCATAGAAGTGATCGGTCTGAAGAAAAATATCGGAATTCTATTTCTATAAGTAAAAAAAATAAATGCAAGGACTCTATAAGTCATTATGAATTTGTAAAAGATGTTCGGGGAACTAGGCATTCAAAATATAGGTGTTCATTATATATGGGATATATGTATAAATATTGATGAAATAAATATCTAAGATTGTCCATTTTTTTTTTAGAAAACTGACGAATGTTGCCAATAGCTCTAGTGACAGTCAAGATACGGAATATTGCACTTATAGTGTTGAAAGAAAACGTAAACGACAAAAAGAAATTGAAACAGGTCATGACGAACAAGTCAACAGAACGCAGCGGCAAGATGATGAAGAGAGGCAGGTGAGGTTTGATAAAAAGTTCTTAAACAATTATTTCAGCATTTAAATTTAATTCGCCTTCGATTTACAATTGAAACTCGCAGAGTTATTATAAGGGGTAAATTTGAGATTGGTATCCCCGAATTGGGGCTAAAATTGATATGTAGGGATTGAGAAGGTATATACATATATTGGGGTCCGCTTTAGTATACCGTCCCAATCTTTCGGGGACAAAATGGGTATGGGCGGATAGAGGAGATCCTTCAGATCAAGAATATATATAGATATAGCCACGGGAAATTTATAGTTTTCGAGATATTTACGTTTAAAGTTGAAAATTTCAACTAGTAAAACTTTAGTATAACGTCCCACGCTTTCGGGGATAAAATGGGTATGGGCGGATAGAGGAGATCCTCCAGATCAAGAATATATATAGATATAGCCGCGGGAAACTTATAGTTTTCGAGATATTTGGGTTTACAGTTCAAAATTTCGACTATTTAAAGTACGCATTTTTCCCATTTCGAATGAGTTATACACTTATATTTTCCACTTTTATATCCACTAACACTTCACTAATTCGTTTGTACACATTTATTTTACATTATATAGTGCAAAATAGTTAATTCAATAATTAAATTATTGTTAAATTCTATTAATCTGACAATAACAAAAGGGTTGCAAAATTTCAAATAACCAGTGTTACCTTATCGACATCTTTGTAATTGAACTGAAAGAAATTAAAACAATAATACCCCAATACAGGTATCCAAAACCTAGAGAAATAAACTATTACAAAGCATTGATGTTAAGTATTATGCTATACCCTCTATGACAATATTACTTTTTTCTTGTAGAACTTTTTGCGTTGGCGGCCTTCGGCCGCGCTTCAAAAAAATAACCCTGGTCGGTCCAACACCGGGGTGTATCAAGGTTTTTTTTGCGCAGAACTCCTTTTTGCGTTGGCGGCCTTCGGCCGCGCTTCATACTTCTGGTTCAGTTGCATGCTGGCTTAAGTAGTTTTGGTTCGATTAGACAATTTTGGCCACAAGGTGGCATACTTTAATCGCATTATTCAGCAAAGTTTATCCCGATAATCATTGTTCCTGATTTGCATAGTGGAAAGTGAAAAATCAGATGGAATTAAAATGTTATATGGAAAGTAGGCGTGTTGTAGTCCGATTTCGCCATTTTCGCACTTGACATAGAAACATGAAAAGAACGTTATGCACCGAATTTGGTTGAAATCGGTTAGATCTCAAGATATGGGTTTCACCTAAAAGTGGGCTGTGCCGCCCACTGTCAATTTTGAACCGGTTCCTATAAGTCATTATACCATCTCAGAGATAAATTTAATCTCTGGCTGTTTAGTGCTTGATTTATCGCGCTTTTAGTAGTTTTAACGTACCGTTATATGGGGAGTGGGCGGATTTGCCACCCGATTTCAACTATTTTCACACCGTCAATAGAAGTGCTAAAATTTGCTTCAGTGAATTTGTTATTATAGCTAGCGGTTTAGGAATATGCACATTAAACCTATTAGAGGCGGAACCACGCCCACTTTTAAAAATTTTAACTGCAGATGCCTCCCTAATGTGATTCTGTACCAAATAACAGTCTTGTATCTTATTGCGGAGCTTAGTTATGCAAGTTATTTGTTTTGATTAATGGCGTTTGTGGGCGTGGCAGTGGTCCGATTACGCCCATCTGCAATACCAACCGTCTCACGGTACCAGAAACATGTCTACCAAGTTTCATAAAGATATCTCAATTTTACTCAAGTTAGAGCTTGCACGGGACGGACGACGGACAGACGACGACGACAGACAGTCACCATTTCAACTGTCTCTTCATCCTGATCATTTATATATATAACCTATATCTAACTCGATTAGTTTTAGATACAAACAACCGTTAGGTGAACAAAACTATTATACTCTGTAGCAACAGGTTGCGAGAGTATAAAAACAGATGAATCAAGTGTTAGTGGATATAAAAGTGAAAATATAAGTGTATAATTCATTTTAAATCGCAAAATACGTACTTTATAGTTGAAACCGCGGTATGTATATATTCTTGATCTGGAGGATCTCCTCTATCCGCCCATACCATTTTATCCCCGAAGCCTGGGACGGTATACTAAAACCGTCCCAAAGCATTTATAATAAAAATGTCTAAAAACGAATTAGTCTCGTATTACTGGATATAAAGTGAAAATATATGTATAATTCGTTTAAATCATAAAATACGTACTTTAAATAGTTGAAAGGGTCGGCTTTAGAATAACGTCCCACTTTCGGGATAAACGGGTATTGGGCGGATAGAGAGATCCTCCAGATCAAGAATATATATGTCTCCGAAACTTAGTTTCGAGATATTTACGTTTAAAGTTGAAAATTTGAACTATTTAAGTACGTATTTTTGCGAGTTAAAATGGATTATACACTTATATTTTCACTTTATATCCATAACACTTGACTATCGTTTTAAATTTTTATTAGATGCTGCAGAAATAGCTTTATTTCAATATTTAAATCATTCTTTAATTTTATTAATTTTGAAATAAAAATGGTTGTGAATGTCAAAACATCAGTGTTGCCATACTAATACATTTTGCAAACGAAGAAAAATAAAATTAACAGAGATTGTATCCTAGATACGGAAACAACACAAAAAGAATTTCTGCGTAAAAA